TTTTCTTTTACCTGTCCCCTGACTTATGCTTTTCAATAACCTTTTTACCGAGTTGCCTTGAGGATTCTCTTGCCTGCATGGTGTGGTTATAACCAGGTGTACTGATTCACTGATTACATTCAACATGATCATCATTCGTGTCAAAAAGAACTAAAAGGGGAAAACTTCCCAGAAGAGTGAATACTGTTCATAGACACTGTATGGACGCTTTCTCATAGTTGTCATTTGTTGACACAGTAATATCATGCCCTGCCTCTGGAAACATTCGATGACAACTGGCCGTGTTTTGCAGTGAGAAAGTAGTAAATGCACATTTATTGTTTCTTAGATGCAATAAATCTTTATTGCTTTTTGACAGAACTCCCTGACCCTGGTACAGACAGGTGAATATGATATCCAGCACAGTTGGAGCTGATAAGAAGCACAAGATGACACACTGAATGTTGTTATCACATATTTCTAATGAGATAGCGGTTCACCTGTTTGCCTACAGACCCATAAATATGGTCAGCTGGTGCAAAAGACGTCTAGCCTTTACAGATACAGCAACGCTTTTTTAAAGACGATCATATTGTTTGTCTTGATGGGAATTCAATTTTAGTTAAAGTGCTGGTGCAAATATTGTAAGAATTCTGCCATTTAGTCATGAATTCTTTTGAGAATTGGCCTTCTGTGTTACGTAGCATGCTACTAAAGGGGGCTATATAGCGGCAGTGATAAGAATACTGGAGCTGTTTGACTTTGCTTTATGCTGCTACAGTTTATTGGCGTGTGTGCCGTTGGTTTCTGTGTGGTTTTGAAGTTAGAGCTTCAGTAGATGTTTGTCATATGACTGCTGGGATTCTACGTCCCCCACATGAGTCCTTCCTTGTTTGTTTTGTCTTGATAAGAGAACAGTTAATGTGGTTTACTCTAATAATTAGTTGATGGAGCGCAACTTTGCAATAATTTAATGTTCTTTTGCAGGTTTTTGCTAGAGCCTGGCTGATGCTGGATTTCTGGGGAGTAAAAAAGTTTGATCAGCTGATATGTGAGAGTTGTGTTAGAACTGGGAAATTATGGGATCAGTGTAATTCACAAACTAGTTGGCAGCTTACTGTGGCGGCACAACTTCTGAATTCAGGCTTTTTCGGCATTATGTACTGTTTTAAATAATAAAAAAGCTCATAACAATAAATTAGTGAAAGGCCGACATTGGGCGATGATATCAGCTGACGGTGTATCGATAGAGCTGGAATGCGTGACTATCAGAAAGAGCAAGACATGCAGATATGGGGATGGGCTGCTGCCGTGGGTGTTCTGTACAGTTACACAGGCTTTGTTCAGGCTGAAGACATCGTGTGTTCCCCTCTGTTCCAGCTGGCAGCCCCAGCAGTGTAAGCACACCTGCCCCCAGCCTGTCGTCTTCACCTCCAAGCGTTCAGCCGGTGACCATCCAGACTCAGATCCAGGGGCTGACCACCGCCTCTCCTCTCCTGACCACATCAGGAAGCCCTCCAGCTCAAACCATCGCACCCCACGTACAGCAAGTACCTGTAAGTGTGTCGGCTGTGATCTGAGTGACCCTCGATGGACTCTAGTCCTCTCTCTGTTTATGAATATCTGTCTGGTGTGTGTGTTTCAAAGGTGTTGCTGCAGCCCCAGTTTATCAAGGCTGAGTCTCTGCTGCTGACCACCCTGAAGCATGACCCCTGTATGGTCACCACTGTGGCCTCTCCCACCTCTCTGGCCACCACCACCCCGGTGCAGAGCACCTCGCTGCAGGTAGATGCACCATGCAGGCTCAACTCCATACTGAGCTTTTAAAATGCACTTGGTCGAAGATGACACTTGAGAAATATAACTTACGTCCACCTTAATGACTCTTCAGGCCTTTATGGGCGGGGGCACTATCCTGACTACGGTGCCTGTCATGGTGGATGCTGAAAAGCTGCCTATCAACCGCATCGCCATCAGTGGCAAGCCAGTAGGCCAGCCACACAAGGGGGAGAAGCGCACAGCCCACAACGCCATCGAGAAGCGCTACCGCTCTTCCATCAATGATAAAATCGTGGAGCTGAAGGACCTGGTGGCCGGCACTGAAGCCAAGGTAAGACGGACGCTTTTACTGAAACAACTTTTGTCTTTTTTTCTGTTTATTCACAATACAGGTTTTATATTTGCACTTGAAAATGACCGATGTAATATTTGATTTCAACCCATCTTTTCCCTGTTTGCTTAGCTCAACAAGTCTGCCGTGCTGAGGAAAGCCATCGACTACATCCGCTACCTGCAGCAGTCGAACCAGAAGCTCAAACAGGAGAACATGGCACTTAAAATGGCAGCCCAGAAAAACAGTACGCACTTAAACCCTCCTCTTTTCTTTTCCAAAAGCCTCTTGGCAGTTTATTTCAATTCCTTTAAAGTCATTCATTTGGCCTTCTGTGATGAGGTCTATTGATAGCCACTGCTATCCTGAAATGAAAAAAAGTGGAAATGGCCTTGTGTAGCTTCTGAGTAAGTGGATTGTAAGGTTGAAGCTTTCCTTGCTTTTGTACCGTTGATTGACCCTCTAACTGCTCTCTTTGTCATTCCTTTCCTCTTGCTTCAGAGTCTCTCAAGGACCTGGTTGCCATGGAGGTAGATGGACAGGCTGATGTGAAGAACGAGCTGCCCACCCCTCCAGCCTCTGATGTGGGCTCCCCGACTTCTTTCTCACACTGTGGCAGCGACTCAGAGCCTGACAGTCCAATGGGAGAGGACACCAAGGTATGACGCTCACATTTAAGCTGCTAATCTGCAGCCTAAACGGTGGCATGGTTTCTTAGTTTGTCACTTTAGATGAGGGTCTGGATAGACAGCCAAGGAAATCTGAATACTGCCATTATCTGATGTGCTTAAAGGCTGATTTATACCTCTGCTGTTCAGCCTTGTGGTAGCAGTCCTGCTGCGATTTGCAATCTCTCCAAGTGGAAACACACAGGCGTGTTTTTTCCAATACGTTTCTGGTCGCGTCTGTGTTTGTTGAATTTGAACTCAAAGCAGGCTGAAGAAAAGCTCAGTGAACTGTTTGCAGTATCGACCGATGCATTTGCATGTTGTAATCAAGCAGTTCCAGTAGAACGCTAGTCCATACTTGGTCACCCTGAATTGGCTGAGAAAGTACAATAAACGTGACTCTCGTGACATGTAGGACAGCCTGCATGCTGAGCTGAGCTGTAAATCAGCGACTTATCAGATTGATGATAAAGACAATCACTACACTTGTTGAAAAAGAATAAACTTCTGATTAAGTGAATATTCTTTCTATCCTTTCAAACGCTCATTTATCTTCCTGGACTCTCCTCTGCGTGCCAGCCGAGTGTGGGCATGTTGGACGGATCTGCAGCAGGCGGCAGCGCTGGCGGCATGTTGGACCGTTCTCGTATGGCGTTGTGCGCCTTCACCTTCCTCTTCCTCTCTCTCAACCCTCTGGCTGCTCTGCTCTGCTCGTCGGGTAGCAGCTCAGCTGGAAGCACTGCAGCCATCACCAGCCATCACACGAGCAGGAGCGTCCTGGGTGTGGATATTGCAGGTATGGAGTGGATAAATGCTGGGAGGGGGCATGATCATGATGGTGTCTGACTGCCGACAGGTTATGCAACGCTCTCATTTTATGTAATGTGTTCTATAATATCCTGCTGTCACACAAAATGCAGAGGGTTTGTTTTGCAGTTACGTGATTATATGTGTGTTGTCCGCAGCTGACTCATGGGGCTGGATGGATTGGATGCTTCCCACTATTCTGGTGTGGCTACTGAACGGTATTCTTGTGTCTGGGGTTCTGATCCGGCTGTTGGTATATGGAGAACCTGTAACCAGACCACACTCTGGATCATCTGTTCTGTTCTGGAGGCACCGCAAACAGGCTGACCTGGACCTAGCAAGAGTATGTTTCTGTGCTTAATACAAACAGATGAAACCATGGAAAGGCCCGTGTTCCTGTAGTCTTACTCAGAACTACGTTTGTCTTTGGTGCTGTTCGGACTCACCTTTAGTCTGTTCTTTGTCATCTCCTCTCCTCAGGGAGATTTTGCCCAGGCCAGTCACAACCTGTGGACCTGTCTGAAGGCTCTCGGTCGGCCTTTGCCTACCTCCCAGCTGGACCTGGCCTGTGCTGCCCTCTGGTCTCTGCTGAGGTTCTGCCTCCAGCGCCTGTGGGTGGGCCGCTGGCTGGCTGCCAGGGCCGGAGGGCTGCGATCTGATCGCCCCCTGCAGGAGGACGCCTGCAAAAGCAGTCGTGACGCCGCCCTGGTTTACCACCGCCTGCACCAGCTTCACATGACAGGTTGGTCCTTGGGAAAAATGTTGTTTTGAAGTTAAATTATTGTGTAGACTGCACATGAGAGAGTGGCATACTGAGGTAATCAATCATTAAAGAGCAGCTCCGCTAACACCGTGATGCTCAACCTAAGTCCTGCAGGCCACATCAGGCCTGTTCAGAGCGCCTGCTGGTCTGTCAGTCAGCTCATAATTCACAGTTTAAAAAACAGCTGACTCACACTGTGGGCTTGTTGTTAGTTTGTTTAGTAAATGCTCAATAATGTTGGCTGCTGCTCAGCTAAAGATGAATATGTTCAAAGGTAGATGAGTTATTCGCCTTTTTCACTTTTCTTCATATTACTTGTTTATTTTGAAAAAGTGGCCGATCGAGTTGTGCAGAGAGGACCAGTCGTCTTATCGGGCCTCCGGCCTCCTTTACACCGTGTGTTCACTGTGCTTGACTCAGGGGGGAGGTTTGAATTGGCCCGTCGCTCGTTGTGGTTCTGATGAGTCGTCGTCTCCTTTCTGGCTCCTTTCTCCTGTTTTCGCTGATGGTTTTAGTAAACAGTGACAATAATGTCAGAATGGTCTGTGTGCTGGTGTTTATTTATGTATGTACTAATCTGGCATAAGAATTTGTGACCAGATCCTTTTACAGTTTCTTTTTGTGGTTGTTGCATCACTGTTTTTTGTTGTTAGAAACATTGTCTTGGGGCGCCCGTATAGCTCACCTGGTTGAGCGGGCGACCCATGAACAGGGGCTACAGTCCCCAACGCAGCGGTTGTGAGTTCAAGTCCCGCTCATGACCCTTTGCTGCAGGTCTCTCCCTCACTCTTCTCCCCCCTTTCCTGTCTCTCTACACTGCTCTAAATAAAGGCAAAAGCCCAAAAAAAATATATTAAAAAAAAAAAAGAAACCTTGTCTTGTGTGTGTGCATACAGGTAAGCTGAACGGCAGTCACCTGTCAGCAGTGCACATGGCTTTAAGTGCAGTGAACCTGGCAGAGTGCGCGGGCTCATGTCTGCCTGTAGCCTCTCTGGCTGAGGTCTACGTCTCTGCAGCTCTACGAGTCAAAGCCAGCCTGCCAAGAATTCTGCATTTCTCCTCAGTAAGTCCCTCTGGTTCGCACATGCACAAGCGTCTTGCTCAATCATTTCTATTGTGCAGATTTAAGCAGCGCTGTTGCTGTCAGGATGAAGTACTTGCACACAGTCCTGCTGCCTGTTCAGTGTTCAGGTGGTCTGTGTGTCAACAGTCAGCAGTTTTAGGTTGACATTTGGTTAATTTGCCCTCTGTGGTTAATAAACAAACTGCGATGTTAATGACCTTTTTGACTTGAAGAAAACTGCACTGCAATGAACTGAAACCTGTTTATTTTGGGATAGCGTGTGTTCCTGAGCAGCGCCCGCCAGGCCTGCCTGTCGTCCAGCGGCAGCGTGCCTCCAGCCATGCAGTGGCTCTGTCACCCGCTGGGCCACCGCTTCTTTGTGGACGGGGACTGGGCCATTCGCAGCACCCCTAAAGAAAGCATCTACAGCCAGGCCGGCAACACCGGTCAGTCAACGCAGAACGCCTTCTATAATGCCGGACTGACTTTGCACACTCTGATGTCTGATAGTTTGTTGGTGCTGTTACAGTGGATCCTCTGGCCCAGGTGACTCAGGCGTTTAGGGAACACCTCCTGGAGAAGGCTCTGTACTGTGTGGCCCAGCCTCGTGGAGAGAAGAACCCCAGCCAGGGCGAGGGGTGCGACAACTACACACACGTCTACATCATTCACTAATTGTTCTTGTGTCACTGATATTGCACCCCTTTCGTTTAATTTTCTTTTCTTTGTGGTTCACTTCTTAAGTTTACTAATGTAGAAATGTGACTAGAGGAGCAACCAGAGCATAACCAGTCATACAACTGAACTGAAATGATAAGAAAGCTGCAAACAACGATGACTTTAAAGTCAACAACGTGTGTTGGTGTGACAGCAGAGTAAGCCTTCAGTGTATGTCTGTCCACAGGGAGTACGCCGACGCCCTGGAGTACCTCCAGCTGCTGATCAGTGCCTCAGATGCGGCTGGTGCCACGTCCCAGTCCTTCGCCATCGGCTCCAACATGGCCACCGTGACTGGTAGCTGTCCTCTCTGTTAGCAATCATCTGTTTGTCTGTTTTCTGTATGAAAAAGATGGATCAGACTTTTTGTTTTGAAAGTTATTCAAAACAAACGGCATGATTGATGAGTAATGACGCTGGTTTTCATCCCTGCCCAGAATTATCTTCCTAAACCATGGCAGCCTGAGTGAAACTACCTCTGTTGTTCAGTACATCAACACCGAGGTCTCGGTTTAGGCTTCGTACTTCATTACTGCTTATCTTTTCTGTGAGAATTGCTTCTGTTGTCCTACATTTTTCTTCACACTTACCTTGTTTTGCTAGCAAAATAAGAAGCAGGAAGAAATTGAGAAGCTTGATTTCCCCTCGACGTCTACCCTCCCACCACTTTCCTTTGTCCTCACTGATCACTGATCTGAGCGAAAGGGGCTAGGTGAAAGGGAGGCATCCGCTAGATTGCTTCATCTATCTTCACCACTGTCAAATCGGTGATCACCTTGAGAGGAGGGAGGGAAGAGAGGCTGTGCAGGGATTTTAATCGGAGACTTTTCTTGGCAGAGCCTCAGGTTGCTCACAGTGTCAGAAGTGTGTGTGTGTGTGTGTGTGTGTGTGTGTGTGTTGCCCAATGTTAAATGGAGTAGTTTTCCCTCACGAGGGAGTCGTCAAAATGGCTGCTTTTTCTCAGCTCATGTTGCGACTATGCCGGAGGGGAGAACCAGATTGATTCAGAGGTCAAAATACAGACAGCAGCTGTCTATGTGTGTGCAGTGTCATGCATGCTAAATATGAAAGTGGGCAGTGAGGGATTTGAATATTTGCATATTTGTTAGTCTGGGGGGTGTCTCACCTTTGACTGTTTCTCTCTAAACTCCAGGCTGCGATCCCCACTCCAAGTGGTGGTCCTCGGTGGCCGTGGTGATCATCAACTGGCTCCAAGGAGACGACGCTGCAGCAGAGAGACTGTATCCGACTGTGGAGCACCTGCCTCGCAGTCTGCAGAACGCAGAGTGAGTTAGAAATACGCTCGCCGGAGCTTCGGCGGCCAGGTTAACAGGGTGTTGCGTAACTTTGGTCTGCTAATGCCAAGCTGAGAAGACTCAAACACTCGCACACTTCCACCACTTTAACCTGTGTCCTCTGTCTGTTTCCCCCTCGCTCTGTCAGGAGTCTTCTGCCCAAAGCGTGTCTGAACACATTCAGGGCAGTGCGGGCTCTGCTGTCCAAGCCGGAAAACTGCCAGCTGAGTCTGAGCTACAGTGACAAGGCCAGCGCCCTGCTCCGAGACAGCCTCAACCTAGGACCACACTGCCACAGCTCCAGTTTAGACAAGGTGAGCACACGGAGCGGCACAGGCTCTTGCAGATTTGGGCGCATGAGAGTCAAGCTGATGCTTAATATTCCTGCGAGGGACGTTTTGTAAAGGCGACGGCATCTGCATAAAAATACATAAAAGTGAAATACACATGAATACACACAGTGACAGATGTGATCGTACACACACACACACATACACACACTTGTATATGAAGTTGTAAACACAGGAAATTACCCCCCCAATACACACACACACACACACACACACACACACACACACACACATAGTCACAATCACTATACACACACTGTTTTTCAGAGCCACACACTTTACCAGACAGCGAATCCCCCGCAGCAGCTCCACGCTGTGATACTGCAGTGTCCTACCCTCTGGCATTCAGCAGATGGTGATGCTGGTGGATAGGTAGCTCACAGCGTGTGTGTGTCTACGGCCAGAGCTGCAGTGCATTGTAGTTGCATTGCATGTGTGTCTCAGCGGAGTGCAATGTACCTGCAGTGCAACACAGAGCTGGGCCACTAACAGCAGAACACACACGTGAGGGCCAGAAAATGTCCTTTGACTTTGAGAGTAAACATGTTTTTGCACAACATATCTGTGTACTATCCTGTTCTCCTTCTAATTGTTTTAACAGTTTGTTCATTTTGAGAAAATTAGCACTGCAAAGGAATCAGATTTGGCTGGAAAACAAAGAGGAATGGCATCTGAAAATACCTGTTTATACTCAACGCTTCTCCTTTTTCCAAACCTAAAGCGGCATTTTGTGCATCATTTGCACCTTTTTTCTTCCTTTACACTTACCTTGATTTTAGGGCATACATATTTTAGTTCACAGTGTCTTTTAAATGCTCTACAGTTGTCACATGTCACTATCCCGTCACTGCTCAGTGGACCAGGCTTTGTTTGACCCTGTTTATTTCACCACAGGTCGTCCAGTTGCTGTTGTGTGATCTGCTACTGGTTATGAGGACCAACGTCTGGCGTCTGCAGCAGCAAGGGGCCAGTCCTGCAGGGCCGGGATCGGTGGGTAGCGGCGGTCCTGCAGGAATCCACCAGGCCTCCCCACCAGAGCTGCAGGGCTTTCAGCAGGATCTCAGCTCCCTGCGCAAGCTGGCTCACAGCTTCAGACCTGCGATGCGAAGAGTATGTAAAATGGTGTTGGCGACTGCATTTCGGTGCTTAGTTAAAGCCAGTTCATGGTTTCTGTGTCCACAAGAGTCTGCATGATGTAAATATCATCTGCCATGTCATCCTCTCTGCGGATGTCTGGATGCAACATTTATGACTGTGCAGACTGAGAAAAACAAATGTCGCTCGAGACAAATGCTCGTTGCGATATTCACCGTTATCCACGTTTTCAAAACTGAACATTAAAGGAGTTGATTGAAGTGTCGCTGCCAGACTTTGGAGGTGCTTTGATTTGTTCACGCTTTCCGTCGACGGGGCTCAAACGCAGCGGGAATCTCCAAACTCTCCAGAAATCCTATGTCTGCTCACTGTGCTCAGCACACCTCAGGAATAATCCCATTGACACGGTGCTGCAGCCCAATCTGTAGCCAGCTGCTACATCCTGTAAAAAGCGCAGAGTCACAGCCGGCATTTCAGAAACATCCACAGGAGCCCCGTGTGTTTTTCTGGGTTTGATATGAGGTGCAACGTGACAGTCTGCATCGCACACAGATGCACAGCTAGTGTAGTGTTAATGGAATGAAACCGCATCCACTGTCCGTGTTTGGAGTCCATGTGAGCCGTGAACTGGCCTTAACGTGAAGGAGCTGTTTTGTTTTATTTATAATCACACCCGACCTCATTCATGTCAGTTTAACACACATGTAGATATCCAGAATCCACACTCGTAATAACTCGACCATGAAGGTCAGCCCAGAGCACCGTGTCTCATCAGAATGTTTAAGACGCTCTCACGCCCTCCTGTATAGGATTCCATTTCTATACATAATGGACCACGTTGTGAAAAGCACATCTCACATGGACGTACAAATGCTGCCTGTGCACATATTTGCAGGCGGTTCTCTGTGGAAATTAGCTGGGAGGTGTCGCAACACACATGCACATGCACACACACCCCCCGAGGCAAGTGTTTAGCAGCGCTGTTCACAAGGCTTCAAAGTCTCTCTGAGGTAGAGCTGAACATTATGTGTGAGTCATCATCACTCGCCCTCCTCCCTCCTCCCTCCTCCTCCTCCTCCTCCTCCTCCTCCTCCTCGTCTCATCTCGCTCCTCTCCATCTCTTTCAGTTGTTCCTCCATGAAGCTACAGCCAGGCTAATGGCGGGGGCCAGTCCTACCCGCACACACCAGCTCCTGGACCGCTCGCTGCGGCGCCGAGCGACGCCCGGAGCCAAGACAGGTGTGTGTGGACATACCGCTGCTGGTTTTACATTTCATCTGCTCTGCACAAACAGTCCTGGCTGTGGGCAGCTTTGTTTTAGTCGCTCCTTCTGATGTTTTGAATTCTTATTTGTTTGTGGTGATCTTCCAGATGTAGCATCTGGTCAGGCATCATACAGCTCCACCAAAGTGAAGCAACAAGGGAAATGTTTTATGGATATAGCTTCTACAGGGAGAGGATCTGATGCTGTTTTTTCTCCCCTCAACTTATCTATCTATCTATCTATCTATCTATAATAACCTGAATATCTAAGGACAGTTTTTGAAGAAATTTGAAGACTTTCCAGGGAAATGTTTTCTGATGATGAACAGAGGACATATGTAGAAAGACTCAACAGTAATTGATGGAAAATAATCTTTGCATCCCGATTCTTAAATACTTAAAATGTTCTAGTGTTTGTTTTATTTACTCCGATAAAATAATCATTAAAAAGTTCTATTTTAATGTAATTAACACCAGTAGGATTAAAATAGGAAGCAGGGAAGAGTAAAAAGCATTTAAAGCTGCGGATGCTGTATCTTCCAAGCATTGATTTTTGTTGTTGTTGTTGAAGCAGCTTTTCAGCTAAAAGTTGCAGAGAGCTGAGAGTCACTGGTTGTAATCAGTGTCTCGTCTGTTCTCTGGCTATAAATCGCATCAGTAATTACGCAGCAAGGCGGCACTTCTGATTGACTGTCGCTGGCTGATGACATCATACCTCACCTGTCACCCACGGTAACGATGTGCTGTGTGTTTGCAGAGGAGTGCGAGACGCGGCCCGGCCAGCGGGAGCAGGCGGAGGCCGTGATGCTGGCCTGCCGCTACCTCCCGCCCTCCTTCCTGTCGGCCCCGGGCCAGAGGGTGGGCATGCTGGCCGACGCCGCCCGGACCCTGGAGAAGCTGGGAGACAAGAGGACCCTCCACGACTGCCAGCAAATGATCATCAAACTGGGCAGCGGCACCACCGTCACTAACAGCTAGAGCGACGGGACGGGGGAGGGGCTGAGAGACATGCATGGACGTTGTACATAGAAACACCCGACATACAGAAACACACTTCACAGACACACACAGGCCCATTTTTGCATTCTGGCGTGCAGCTATTGAACAGATTTGTTAAACTGTACAGATTCATATCAAACTGGATTTCCCTCATGACTTGTCCCTCCCAGCACCCCAACCCCGCATCAGAAGGCACTTGCAGAGTTCACGCTCCCGTTGCTACGTAGGAGGCGTTTGGTTTTCTCGTGCCGAGCTGAATCCCCTCCTGGTGAGAATGCGTTGCAGTGCCACAGTTTGACCACACAGAGGCGCTGCGAGGTCCTACGGGTGGACGGCGAAGCACGTGTGTGAGAAGCATGAAGGAGATGTTTGCCCTGTTCACTCAGAGCGGCTCCAACCCAGTTTCTTTTTCAGCACAGGTTCTACAGGCAGGAGAGCTCAGTGGGCTGGAGCCGCTCTGATTGGCTGCAGAGCGAGCCGTCTCTTGGTTCGTGGGAGAAAACCGACCAAACTGGGATTGGTCTGACCGTGGGCTTGTGCAGTGGGAAGCCGCTCCACAGGTTGTTCACTGCTGAAGGTGATTTGAATGGCTGGTGATGATCTGTAGACGGTGACCGACTGGCCGAGCCCTCTGTCTTTCTGCACTAGGCCTGTGAGGCTGATTTCAATGAGATAAGTAATATTATGGCTTTATGAGGTTATTTTCATAGAGGTCGTGTTTTTGTTTTGCTGTGTACATATTTTAAAATGTATTTATAATCTATATGAACTTTGATTAAGCAGTATTTTGCATAAGCAGAGTGATAAATGCTTATTTTCTTCCCTTAATCCTGCTTTATTTGGTAGTTTTAGTCCTGGCCCACATGATCAAGTTACTGTACTGTGCCGCCATCAGACGAATGTCAACGTGGAGGCGGCATCACGATCAACGTGACTCTGGTGTCACGTCGTCTGACTCTGTCGACCTTTTGCACCGTCGCACACAAATGCAGCTGTGATATCAAAAGCAGTTGGCAAATCGACAACTCAACACAAACCTTTGGCACTTCAGACTGAAATTGCGTAAATCATGGAGACGATTTCTAAATATTTGACCATCTTTGTCCAAAGAGGGCCTGTAGTGAATCTTTTTTTTTTTCTTCCTTTGTAGCTCAAAGCATAAAGAGCAATCCTCGCTCTTTGGGTCATTATAGTTTAATTTCCCTAGAGAACCGCCACTTTTTGATTTTCATAGTATTGTAAAAAAAAGTTGGAAAGAAGGAGAACTTGGGTGTGTTTTTGTCTGAGGACCAGAATGTTTTTATAGTGCGTCACTGGTGTGAAGGACTGAGAAACATGGGTTTGACTGCGACACGACCACGTCTGGAGGCATCGTTCCTGTCTTCACCCGGCATCCTTTCATCTCCTCCTCGTTTCATCCTTTTATCATGTAAATATTAAAACATTTTGTAAAGAAGACGGCGGTGTTCACTGCGGTGGTTTTTATTTTTAACGGGGTAATGCGGGCCGATACCAGACGACGATAAGAAACCAGCCGAGTCTCCTTCCACTAACCTCAAAATTATGCAAGTAGGTCATGGGCTTACATGTAAAACGGGCTCCAAACTTCCTGCCAGATGTAAAGCAGATATGGAATTGGAGGGAAATGTTGTCGGTATATCGCAGAACACTGTTTTATCAAACATTTGTGCAAGAAAAGGAAAGAAAAATGCATTTAAACAGTAAATTTGAGACTGTGTGCTCTGAAATGCGCCTGTAATTTAAGATAAAAGTCGGCTTTCTCACGACGGCCACTTCTGATTGGTGCATCCCAGTGTCGACCCCGATCTGCAGAGAGGCACGGGTGTAAAAATAAAACGGTCCAAACTGTGTCAGCGGTGCGTTGGTGTCGGTGCAGGTTGAGTGAAGACAAAAAGAGCAGGCGTTGGTCATAGCAGCATTGAAAGGTGCTGGTATATTTAACATTGGCGTTACAAAAAACATTTCAAACAAAGTGATGCTGTGTCATCAATTCCAAACAAATAGACATGAAAATCAATAGAACGGCATGCTCCCACTTAAGACAAGTGACATTCCCAAAAAAGGTCGTTATTTTTTTTTCATCAATGGATTCTTTTAATAACATTTTATAAGCAATAACATATTCCATTTTATAGAAAATAAACATCTCTAGGAAATACTATACACAATTATATTAGTACATCACATCTTACATTTAAACAGCATCAAATACTTATGTACACCATTAAATAATGAGCTTCATAAAAGAGAGAGTTTGGTGTGGCGTTTTTGCACTTTTTTTATGCTCTAATACTTAAATATGTCTCCTTTTGATATGACCAGTACTTATACTGACGCCCTGCGCGGCGCGTTGTTATATAGCATGGCAGAGTGAACAGAGGCTACATCTTAGATACACAAACGGACAGGTGTGTGTCATGGAGTCACGTCCTCCTGCACGGCCGTGGCGTGTGAAATGGTTAACAGTTAATACTTCTGAGCTGTACACAGACAGGAAGTGAGACGTCTGACTCCCGGCCTGTCGAGTGAAGATGGCGGCGTCTACTGTACATATTGGATGTGCACACAGTTGAACTCCTAAACAGAGTCCATTTTTTTCTTCCTTGTTTTCATATATATATATATGTATATATATATATTTGACTTCTGAATAACACAAAGCCTGACATATACCAAGGGTGACGCAATGATGTCGTTTAGTCATAATGCACATCAAAATACATCTCCGAAGATAAGAGCATTATATTAAAATACTGCGTCCATTTTTTTTCTTCCATGTCAGAATATTTAGAACCTGTAAAGCACATCGTCATCATGTACGGTTTCCTTATTTGTTTTGTCTCTTGTTTTAAACACACACATTGAGATAGTACATCCAGTGGTTGGCTGCTGCTGCTGCTGCTGCTGCTGCTTTTTTTCGACATCTTGAATTGGAGATGCACTTCTTCAAACTCACACAGACACTAATGCACAAACACACTGATGATGTGGTTGTAGAATGACAATTGTATGGTTATCACACACACACACACACACACACACACACACACACTGACAATCACACACAGGCATATGCACTCTTGGCCCACAGTCAAGGCGGCCAGAGGGATGTTCCTGTCCAATCAGTGTCCGCCAGGTGTCTGAATATGATAGCAACCATCCGAAGGCAGAACACACACGCATTCGTCGCTCTGCATTTCAAACAGTCCCCGTGTGCACCGGGTCTCTACAGCGCAGTCTTTCCTCCTGTTAAACAGTGCCGCTGCCTTCCGCCTTGCAGTGAGGGGCTCAGTTCAGAAAACACATTTCGAGGCCGGGTTCAGGGGGCAGCTGTTCTCCGCAGAGCTGTCCTCCAGGGTTCGTATTGCTCCGAGCTCCACCTCAGCGCAGCCTCCCTCGGCCCTGTCAGCCGACATGCCCGTCCGTCATCGGTAATCGCCATGTTTTCAGGTATAGGTGGCTGTTAGGACAGCATTTTGCCTCGCTGGATAGGTGGTGGTGGTGGAGGTGGTACGCAGGAATATCTTACAGGTCCTGCAGAGGAAGGACAGAGACATAAGTATAAGTCACAAACGGAGAGAGGATACAAGGGTTTGAGCTGCGCCAGAGGTTTCTTCTGTCTGTGACCTCTGGCCTGCCACAGAACACTCTGCCTTTCCTTTATTTATGAGGCCGGCTTACTGCAGGTGTGCAGACGGGCTGCTGAGAGCTTCTGAGCAGGTCTGCAGAGAGAAGGCGTAAAAGCAAGCTGACTGCAGTGTGCAGGAGTGGTGAGATGGATGCAGCTGACCAGTGAACCAGCTCCTCTGTGAAAGACACAGCAGGAACGCCTTCTAATTGCGCTGGAGGTGCGGTGGTGGTGGTGGTGGAGCGCTGTCTTTCCCCGTACGCTCCTCTGCAGCCCCCTAGTCGCTCTTGTTCACTCTCGCTGTCTTTCTGTGTGAACTGCCAGCTGCCCATCCTTATGTCCTGGACTCAGACCAGCAGCTCTGCTCTCTGTCTTTAATCTTTCAATCTTTGCACTTCTTCCTTCTCTCCCTCTTTGAAGCCCTCCCGTCGCTCCCTCTCTTTCTGGTGGCTCTCGTTCTTTTGCTCCTTCGGTCTCACTTGTTTTCTCTCTCCTGTTGCCCTTCTTTCCTCTTTCTATCTCCGTCTCTTTCCGTCTGCCGCTCTCTGATGTAACTGCCCCCATTCGTCTTTTGTTCCCACTCAGCCGCGGCACAAAACACTCTGTTTTTTCTCTCCTGCTCTCGCTGCGTGTGTGAGCTTCAGGTAACCTGTTAATGAACCTGCGTGGACGCACACAGCAGGCCTCCCTTAACACCAGAGAATCTGCAGCTCAAGGCAGCATGTGTGTGCATTTTTTTTTTTGTTCCAGCCCTAAAAGCGAGTGAACGCAGGCACAAGGAGAATTTGTGAGGGGACCCATGGGTGGGGTGGTTGCATGTTGGAGTGTGTGTGTGCGTCTGCTCTTCCCTTTGATTAGGCTGCTCAGCGTAAATTGGCACAGCACAGACCGACACACACACACACAGACCTTCAGATCCTTCAGCTGATGACAGCTCTGCCTCAGCCCGCTAACAACAATCTCTCTCCGACTTGCTCTCCTTTTCTGTTTCTCACACTCTATTTCTGCTGCTTAGACGTGGGAGTTGAGGTGAAAAGAGGTGGGGAGAGGAGTAGAGAAGATGAGAGCGAAAGAGGGAGAATGGGATGAGGAAGGATGAAGGGAGGACGACTGAAAATGGAAAGAGGGAGCTCATAGGAGATGAGAGGTGAACAGAGCGAGAGACTGAGGGAGCCGGAGCAGCAGGGGAGCCAAGAAGCAGAATAAGGGGAACGAAGGGGGGGAAAAAAGGAGGAGGAGTGAGAAATAATGAGAGAAAGCAGGAGAGAGCAAGAGAGAGAAGCGGTGGAGAGTGCATGAGCGGAGGATAGCAGGCAGCGATGGTGGGTGGGGTGTTTTGATCAGCAGCCAGCTTTTCATCCCTGTCAGTCTGCACAGAGGAGAGCAGAAAAGGAAAGCGGGAGGATGGGAGGCTGCTGCCACTGCTGCCTCAATGCACCGCTGCTCCCTGCTGAATGTCAGCTTCTCCAACTCCCTCCACCACCAACACCACCACCCCCCCGCATTTGACCTTCCTCCATGCGCTGCAGTGGAAATAAACCGCCACCAGACGGCGTCTGTCTTACAGGGAAGCTGAATCCGGAGCAGACCGTTCACATTAAACCTAAAAAGCTGCTGTGATAGCAGTCGTCTCGAGTCATGAGTGACAGTGATACACGCCGGCGACGGCGGATGTGGGTTCGGCTCGCCAAGGTCACCGAGTGCGTATTGATTTGGCGACTACAGATCAGTCAGTTCGAGATTAGATCCTGGCCTTCGTGGGTTCAGTACTGGCAAAGGGAGAACTGTGCTAATGCCAGCGTACAGTGGATACCAACGTGTTTTTTTCTTTGATTCGCTCTCTGTTTACAAGAGCTGACAATTGTGTTTTCTGTTCTGCGCTGTATCATCTGTCCAGTCAAGGTGCTGCTGCTGCTTGTGACAGAAATGTTTGAATTCTTTTTTTTGTTTTTTTATTCTGTGCTGAAGAGATGGGTGAAGGGTGAAGGGGAAAGAAAAAACAGAACAGGGAAGGAGGCTTTAAGTGTCCTAATCAGAACACACCCAAAAACACACGAGTAAAGAAGTTGCCTGTGAGATGCTAATGCACATAACACGGCTCCAAAAAGCCGTCTTCATCCAGCCAATGCACATAAGAATTTTAAACTCATACAACAGATAAAAATCATGCATCAAGTCACTAGTTTTGTGGTTTTTTCCTTACCTCATGTTTTGGACATTTGATGGAGAAGTCATCCTCGTGGAATGTGCAGCCTAGACAAGAAAAAGAGCACAGAGAAGAAGCAGAGAATGAGCTATCGTGTTGCAGATAACAACAAATGAAACACAAAGCAGGAGGTGGATGTGCACGAAAACGAAGCCCACAACCCAGATAAATGGCAAAAAGGTAAGGTTAGAATAAAAAATGAGCGAGACGAAGGAAGCGGCAGAGGGAGAGCAACAGAGGAAAGAGAGAGACTGAGTGGATGAGTTGCAGTGCAGGCAGGCAGGCAGTCAGATATGGCTGGTGCACTCAGCAGGATTAAAAAGGGCCTCGCTCTGCTCCCTGTGCTGGCTCGGCAGACGTGGCAGGCCTTCTAATCCTCACACTGTACTTCCTTGGCATGAGGTAATATAAAGGGAAGCCATGTCACACGTGTCAGACGCCGACTCGTATCGACAACAACGACCAGGGACGAACACACCAGCACCGAAGGGAGTGTGCACAGGCGACGTAGGAAAGCATTTAGGCGAGCATTCGGGCAGGAGGGAACACACATAGATTCATGCAGACAGACGTGCACATTCAGTCCCCAGACGGCAGCATAGACGGATGAAACCACAGGGGTTGTGGTCAATAATGCACACATACACCCCCCGCTCTCGCTATCTCTTCCCTTTCTCCTTCTTGCACACTCCAGGGTCCCACTTTCCTCTCATCATCCCCTTTATTCAAAGCACCCTCACTCTTTCTGTTTTGCTCTCCCCTAGCAGACACCTCTCTTCGCACTCGATAATGTTACCTCTTGATGCATTTTCCTCTCACATCTGCTTTACACCCTCCTGTCTTTCGTCAATCTCTTCCCTCAGCTTCCCCTTCCCAATTTCCCCTCTCATTTCTCCTCCGTCTCCTCGGCTTTTCTTGCCTTTTCATCCCTTGTCACTCCCTTCCTCTCTCGCTGTGGTCTCTTACCTATCTCTTTGGCGCAGACATAGTGGTATTTATGAGAGCAGCCTCTCCAACAGCAGCTGAGGGACGCCCCCACAATCTGGCACTTGTAGCAGCTCTGGGGTTAGTCAGACAGATGGACATATGGGCCAAGACCAGTAAAGAAACAAACAAATTGACCAACAGAGGCACATGGGGACAGAGAGAAAAGAGAGGGGAAAATGTCAGAAGTTAACAGCAGTTCTTAAAGTGACTGTATATAGTGTCTTTGTTAGCTTGCAAACACATTTCAGAACGGTTTAAGACTCATAATTGCAATCGTACCGTTTGGGCTGAGTTGTTGGCAGCTTCCTTCAGGCCATATAGTCGCCCAGCTACCATAATTATCCCCTTGGTCCAGATGGTACAGTTTTCATGGGCCCAGTGCTCCTTAGCCTCTGCCTCCATTTGTAGCCTTTGGAACATGCTGTCGTTGCCCTCTTGGTCCCCCGGGGCCAATGTGCTGATGGCCTGGAGCTGCTTCATCCTCCTGAACCTCTCTCGTAGCGTTAATCTTCGCGGACCACCCTCCCGACCCGGTCTTTCTGTTCTCTCCGCCCGTCGGTAGCGCCAGTGATGGTGCCTGCTACCGCTGCCCTCTTGAGAGGATGATTCCGTGTTCTCCTCCTTTTCTGTGCTGGCCTCACCCTCAGTCTTTGAGGAGTTGCCCGGTGCCTCGTTGCTGCTACTGTTGTCGTCATTAGGCTTGTCTGAGTCTTCCCTGAAGGATTCTGTGTGCCTGATCGTCAGGATTTTCCGTGGAACGCCGTCCTCTGTGTAGTAGGGTCCACATAAATCCCCCAGGTCTTTGTAATTTGCTGGCTTTCCACACAGGGAACATGTAAGACACCTACCAATTAGATTTTTATTTACCATGGGTCCCTGTAACATGGCAGCAGTGTGTGGCACTACTTTTGCGACCGTGAACGGATTCCTCATTCTTAATATGCCCTTTTTCCTGCGTCTCTGAAATATGACGGCGTCCTCGGGTTTGTTGACGATGGCACACCAAGAGGAAAAGTCTCTGGAGTTGTTAATCCGTACATAAGGGCAGAAAGATAGTTTAGGATTTTGATGGACTGGTCTGCGCCGAATTCTTTTCACAGATATAACCTCCGTCTGTTTCTCTGATACTGTGACTACAGGACCCACAATGCATGTTTCCTCTTTCTCTGTGGTCTCTGGTTCTCCTCTTTCCCTGTCTTCCTTTTCTCTCTCCTCTTTTTCAGTCTGTTCACAACTAGCAGCTCTTACTACCGCCTCTATTACCTCCATGGCATCTTTCATCCCCGGTTTTGGCCCAGGCTTTTTGTGTATCTTCACTGGCTTGCCAAGAATCTGCTCTGATGAAGCTTTGCTTCTTTTCCTTTTGGTTGGGTTTGCTGATGGTTTCCTGCCTCTTCGGGGTTTGAGGATGACTTCTGTACTGGTAACCTGGGAGGCCTCTGTGATCTCATCTGGGCTGATTGGCAGAGGTACTGTGGACTCTGTGGGGGTTCCCTTCTCCTCTAAACTCTCTTGTTGTTCTGCTGCTTCAGTGTTTATCTCCTCAACAATCTCTGTTTCCTCCAGAGGGCCGCCTTGGCCTTTTCTCTTCTTTCTCCTCTGCTTTAGGTGCATCTCGTGGTTGTTTTTAATGGCCCTCTGCTTGGCTAACCTTGGTGTTGTAACTATTAGGCTCCCTGCTTCCAAGGCTACTACTGAAGCATCTGTGCTCTCCACCATGGCCCATCTCTTCCTTTTGGTCCTGGCGGACTTGCTTGCGACAGTAGATGCACCCTCTAAGGCCTGCTGTGTCCAGTCACCTGGAGCCAGGACTTCTACTGGGGACTCGATTGAACTCCAAACCTTGTCAGCTACGACATCCTCCAGTTTTGTCTCGTTCTTATTTACAACCTCTTCTTCCACCCCTTGTCTCACCCCTTCTGGTGTTGATATCTCTTGAGTCACCTCATGCTTTTCTCTCTCTTGTGCCACCTCCTCTTTTCTCACCACCCCCTCTTGCTGTTTCAGTCCTTCTGCCACGTCGGTGTTATTTATCAGCAACGACGTCTCCCCTTCCTTCAGGACATGTTCAGACAAAGCCTTGGTTGTCACATCGTCAGTTAGATTGCTGTCTAGCTGGGGAATTGGGAGGTGTTTCTTTGAGCCAGGAGACGTAATCTTCTGCACCATGGCCTCATATTTCTGCCCCCTGCCTTTGCGTGGTGGGAGAACTTTAGTTTTGGTGGGGCACTGAGGCGGCGCCACAGGCACATCACTAGTGATGTCAGGTCCACTGATGCTGGGAGGAGTGTCTTTGGTTACAGGAACGACCACGGAGGCTTTCTTGGGTGGCCCTCGCTTTCTTTTGGGGCCCCGAACCCCCTTCTCTTTCGGTGTAGGGACAGCCTGTTCCAGCAGGGTGGGTTCGGGTGGTAAGGGTTTTGGTTTAGGTTTTGGACCCCTTTTTTTCTTTACTGGTGTTGTAGAAAGTTCTGGGCTAGGCTTTCGCTTCAGTAGAAGGGGTGTCTTTTCTTCAGATTGCTCAGCTGGGACTGACAGTACAGGTGGGTCTCCTGGAACATCTGTGGTTTTGACTGCATTGGGAATGGGAGCTAGAGTTTGTTCCACAGGTGTGAGCTCTTCTGCTTTTGGAGAAACATCACTGGCTTTAATTTCTGTTAGTGTCTGTGTTAGAAAGTCTTCACCTATGATTTTTTCTTTTTCTTTTGATAGTTTTTCCTGTGAAGGCTTTCTGGATCTCAAGACCATGTTCTTACCCTCCTTCTCTGGTGCCTTGACCTCATGGTGTGCTTGTTTTTCCTCAGGCTGTGTTAGTTTTTCATCCTGGTTTACTGATATTATAGCTTTTAGGCTCTTCCTGCTTCTGCTCTGCAGTCCTGTTGCAGGTTGAATTATTTCTTCTTGTTGCACCAGTTTTGCTTTGGACACTGAGCCTTTAGGGCGACCCACTGGGGCCCTGATGGGTGCCATATCAGTGGGAGGCAACACGTCTAAGGGCTTCGCTCCAGGCTTAGGTCCTGGTTTAGGACCTGGCTTTAGAGCAGGTTTTGGACCAGGTTTTGGTCCAGGTTTTAATCCAGGTTTGGGCCCAGGTTTTGGTCCAGGTTTTGAACCTGGTTTTGGACCTGGCTTTCGTTTTATAGGAGTCTCAATTTTCGGTGGCAGCTCTGGTTCATTTGGCACAGGTTTTGGCCCTGGTTTTGGCCCTGGTTTTGGCCCGGGTTTTGGTCCGGGTTTTGGTCCAGGCTTTAGACCAGGTTTAGGCCCTGGTTTTGCCCCTGGTTTTGCCCCTGGTTTGGGCCCTGGTTTTGCCCCTGGCTTGGGCCCTGGTTTTGGGCCTGGCTTTGAGCCTGGTTTTGGGCCTGGTTTTCTCTTGACGTGAGGCTCAACTTTGGGTGGCAAATCCGGTGCATTGAATGAGCGAGTGCACATTCTTGAACGAAAACCATCAGCTAACATTTTGGGAGTTTGGCTCACAATAGATTCCTGATGAGCTAGGTCCATTTGATCTGAGAATAGCACAGTTTTGCTCGGAGGCATGCTCGGTTTTTGTGCAGGCGAGGGAGCTCGCTCCTCTTCCTTTTCCCCTTCCCTCTCTAAGGCGAGTTGTCGCCTGATTCCCACACCTGAATGCATGATTCTCCTTCTGCCCCTGGCATGCTTACGTCCGAATGCCCTCGGCTGAGCAGATGGGACGACAGGCTCTGGTTTGGCCAAGGGGGTCACAGCACTGGCACAGCTGATGCCTGGTTCCATGTCCTCATCACCTTTTTTCGGGGAGGGTGGAGTGTCTGCCCAGGAGGGAGCTGAGGGAAGTATCGACTTTCCTGGTAGCTGAGGAGAGTCTGGCTCCAGCACTTTAGCATCACTGTGATCAATATGATCCCTGGCCAGAGCTGGAGGTGTTGCCTTGTCATTGAGAGCAGAGAAGACTGGCATAGCAGACTGCGGCTGAGGCGCAGTATCACCGATGGCTGACTCCATTGCAGATGCATCTGCTGCTGCGGTTGCTGCTGCTGTGTTCGGATGGGCAGGTGCTCCTGCAAACTCATTGTCAGTATGGAGCTCAGCACTCTGACTCTCTGTCCTGCTGCTGAGGTCTCCAGAAGGCTTCTCTGGCCCATCTCTATTATTCATGTGCTCCTCAGTTGATGACTGGCTCTCTGTCTCACCCTCCCCCAGTTCCTCCCTCACCTCTGCAGACAAAGGAGGAGAAAGAGAACATTCCTGTTGTTTCTGTATTTCTTCTTGTTCCTCTTTATTATCCTCCTCCTCCTCTCCCCCTGCCTTCTCTCCTCCCTCTTCTTCATTCTCCTGATCTCTGCTCTCTCTCTTGTCTAGGTTGCTCTCTTCCAAGGCCTCAACTTGGGGCGTTGGAGAGGTGCTCTCTGAGCTGTCCTCCTTCTCTGTGGAGTATTGATCTGGCTCAAGGTCGCCCCTAGAAATAAAAGGCAGCGTTTTCACCGAGCTCTCAGACGCAGTTGGAGATTCTGATTTGAAGGCCTCTGATTTCATCTCTTGGCCAAAGTGACCTTTGTGGCTGGAGTCAGAGAGAGCTGCTGGAGACTGTTCAACGGAGTCTCTTGCATCGGGATCGTATTTGCTCGGAACCTCTTGGTACACTGTCTCGTCATAGCAGTACCTTTTTTCTGTCACCTCTTTGTTTAATTTGCCGTAGACAGCTGGGCTTTTCTCGTCATCTGACCATTTCTCTAGCTTCTCTGGAGATTTAGTTGTCTCTGAATCTCTCTCACAGGCAGGAGTTTTTTCTATTGTCACCTCCTCTTTGTCACCCGATTTTTCTGTCCAAGCTGATTCTTCAAAGTTCTCTTTGACAGGTTCATTGATATGCTGTATATCTGAAGGAGAGTCTCTTTCTTGTTTCATAGGGCTGGGGATTGTAATACTTGTTGGTGACCTCTCATCACCAATGCTCTTCACTGGTGTACTTATGCCATCTCCTCCCTGCCCTGACTGACATCTAGTAGGATCAGGTGTGAGGTTGTGCAGACCTGAGTCCCCAGACCTAGTAGACATATCATCTGGAGATGCCATGGAGCATGAAGATGCTGTGTCCAGGCTGAGCTGTGTGTTGTTGTGAGCCTGGGCTGGACTTCTGCCCTGGCCAAAGTAGTAGTAGCCTCTTTCCAGTGGTTCATCGCTGCTGCTGGAGTAGCCACCCTCATGGAGTTCCATGGGCATTGGCTGGTGCTGTGGGGTGGAGTAAGGGTCCTGCATGGGGCCCCCACCGACACTACCACCCCCATCTGGATATGGAGGACTTTTGTACTCCTCACCCTTTTTGGAGGATGCAACACTTCCAGCACTGCTGTTGCTCCCTCCACTGCTGCGCTTGCTGCCTTTTTTGTTTGCAACCAGGGCTTCTGAGAGCAGCAGTTGCTGGACATTATTGGAGATGTTCTCCACCTGAGAGGTGAGGACATTCAGGCTCCACAAGCTGGGGTTTGATAATAGTTTTTCTGAGAAACGTTCTTTCATGGTGGGGACCTGCGGTGTCGTAGTGTAGCTGTGGGGGGCTGCATGGGGTACATTGGGTGAGGGGTGTGAGCGTGGGGGCATCAGCATGGTGTTAGCACTGGCTTGCTCCTGCATTCCAGTGGAAGAGGACGATGAGGACGAGGCTGTCCCAGGGGTCATGGGTGGTTGACCGTACTGGAATGACTCTGGATTGGTCATTAGTGGCGAAGGGGTGGAGCTGTAGGAAGGGGAGCGGCCTACAGAGCGTGCAGGAGAGTGGCTTGAGGAGGGGCTACAAGTCTGGTAATACTGTTCTGGTGACCTGACAGGCAGCTCTGAGAGACAGTAGTTTTGTTGGGCTTGGCTGTAGTGTTGGTATTTGGGGTGGGGCTCCTGGGGGTTGGTCATGGCCTGTAAAGGGGGCTGCTGCTCATAACCTCTAGAGGGAGCCTGCTGGTAACCGTAACTGTTCTGGGTCGACCTGTAGCCCCCCTGCTTCAGATTGCTGTGGCTGCTCATTTGCCTGCCATACTGGGAATTTGGAGGCATACTGTAACCTTTATAACAATGGGGCATCGGGCTGCACTTTTCCATGTATGACGATGGGGAGGGTGAGTGCTGCGGGTAGTGCAGGTGACTCTGGGGGTACATGAGAGGTGAGGGGGCAGGGTTAGGGGGGTGAGGCTGGTGGTGGGGGCTGGTGTAGGCAGGGGTAGAGGGCTGGTGGCACTGCGTCTGGGAGTGCCCCAGCATGTTCTGGTCCATGTACTGGGAGGAGCTAGGGGCAGGGGTACCACCAGCCTCCAAACGTCCCACCATCTCCTGGTCATACTGTGCTAACTGGGCGGGGTCCTCCCACTTCTGCTGCAGGTGGCCCTCGCTTATATACTGGGCTGAGTAATTTGAAGGGCCCATGTGGTTGCTGTAGCCCCCAGGACCCTGCAGGTGCTGACCGGGGTTTGGTGGGGGCACTTTGTTTCCTCTGAAGGCTTTCTTTGCCTGTGATGGTGCTGAGCCCCCATTTCCACTTCCGTTCCCTCCACCATTTCCTGGGTATCCAGCGTAGGCTTGCTGGCTGTAACAGTCCTTGGGTCCTCCTCCAATTCCCGGTCCTCCAGCTGGGGTCATGCTCGTAGGGTTTGTCAGCGAATGGGCCTCATAGCCCGACCTGGCGTGCCCCGGGCCCGGGCCTGGATGTGGACCGGGGCCTGGGTGCGGATGCTGGGGGTGGGGATGATGCGGGTGTTGCCGGTAGGTCTCCAGGCGGGATAATTCATGGGGCTCCTGCTGGTAGCAGGGTTGGTTGCTGTGGTAACCACCGCTGCGCTCACGGAAGGACTGCATAACTCTCTCCGTCTGTAGCCAGAGCAGGGAGGGGGAGGTGAGGTGAGACGGGAAAGGGGGAAGGGGGGTTGGGGGTTCTGGAGGCAGGGAGGGAGGAAGAGAGACAAGAACATGTGAGGGTTAGTGCCGCCGAGCCTGGAGTCAAACCATTCTGCATTCTGATATTCACTGTCGAGTTCTGTATTAACATGGAGTCAAAACAAGATTCAGTCCTTCTGTGACAACAAGTGAAGTCGACATTTCCACTCACACAAACATCCACTCGCAGACAGGTGTACGTAACTCCACGTAGACGCTGTCTTATGGAGATTTTTCCCTCCACAAATATATTCAGCTCATTAGCATAATTTGATTTCACAACAATAACTGCATTTTAGTTGCTGGCAGAGCTAACAGCTGTTTCTACTGCCCAGCTTTGAAGAAACGTGCACATATATGTGTGTACATTTTAAAAAACAAGCTCCAGGATCTTTTTCTGCCTCTTAAGATGGAGGGTTAGCAATGTGAAGCAGTCTCTGGTGTGTTGGACCTAAATTGCTGTTTTATTTATTTATCTAATAAATGAGTAATGTGTTTAAATATGTAGGGCTGCATAAGTGAGGTCAGGAAATGCACAGACTACATCTTAAGAGCATACATGTTGGGTCTCTAAGTCAGTACAAGACCGTTTATGCTTTTTCCAGCTGATTTTGTTCCAGGCATTATTCATAACTGGATCAAACACTATCCCTCTTTCTCTCAGATATTCTAATTTACTACTTAAACAAACAATGTTAAGCTTTATTTTGTGGTTTGTTTTTGATGCAGCGTTTCATAAAAGGTTCAGCTGAGCCCTCGTTTTCGTCTCCTCTCTCCTCCCTGCCTTCCCCTGCACAGATGCAAACTCCAATTTCCTCCAAGGGGAAGCAGGAAGTGTTACTGTGTGTGTTTGTGTGCGTGCTTTCAGTGCACCAGTAGGGGTGTCACAGTGTGTTTGTGTTTGTTGTGCATGGTGTGTCTGTTCCAGTGTGTGAGTGCATGTGTGTGTAATCTTTTGCCTGCCTGTGCATGTGTGTGTGTGTGTGTGATAGTGAATGTGAGCGTGTATTTATGCATTCATACAAAAAAGAGAGAGGAAGGCTGGAGAGTGTTCTCACTCTATAAAAGGAAAAGAGTCACCTGGAGACAGCTGTGTGTGTGTGTGTGTGTGCGTGTGTGTGTGTGTGTGTGTGTGTGTGTGTGTGTGTGTGTGTCAGCCAGCTTCAGCACAATATCCCGGCATTCAACCCGCCCCGGGGACAGTGGTGCATCCCACCAGACACACACTAGCATTATTCATCTCTGTAACACTGTGTGTGTGTGTGTGTGTGTGTGTGTGTGTGTGTGTGTGTGTGTGTGTGTGTGTGTGTGTGCGACGAGGGAAGGCGGTGTGTGAATATTGCGTGCATTCAATCTTGCGTGCCTCAATGTGAGTTTGTGAGTGAGTGTAGGTCTGTTTGTGTTGTGCTGTGCAGGTCTGCAGCTTTTGGCAGTCCCTTAAATCTGCACACAAACACCAACACACACATTCATAGACAAATAGACGCACACTCGACAGATTCCCATGGCGATCCTCTGTCCTCCCTCCTACCTTCCCATCTCCCCTGCCTGCAGCCTACTACTGCTTCACCTGGGGTGATGTGTGTGTCTGTGTGAGGACACTTATTTACACAATGACCTAAATAAGATGCTTGTAGGGGACAGCGGGTGGGATTCTCCCAGACCAGGCTTGCCGAGCACAGCAGGCAGGATGGCCTGAGACACTGGCTGCTGTCATGCTCTGTGTGTGTCGTGCTGCATGTCTATCTGTGCGTTGGTTTGTGTCTCCGCTCTGCTCCACAATAGTCCATTCTGAAGAAAAATCAATTGGGTTTTTCACTGTTTGCACGTCTCTCACTAAAAACAAGAAACCAAAGAAGCCCTCTCCTCAATCAATTTACTTCACTCCTCCTTCAGTCGCTTCCCACATGTGTGTGTTTGCTGGTGGTGTTTTCATTCCAATCACGTCTCCTCTCCACCTCCATGCTGCACCTCCTCCTCTCACCGCTATCTTCCGCGGAGAAGCCTGGCATTGTGGAGCTGGCCGCCTGCTGTATTTGTGGATGCACTACGTCACTGCTTCAGCAGGGGTCAGAGAGGAGAGAGAACGAAGGGTACATGCTGAGATCACCGAATCTTCCCTGTTGATCCGTCCACCTATCTGCCCGTCTGTCTGTTTATTAGGCAGCGCTTGCATTGATTTTGCTGGTGCTTGAGCACAGAGAAGGAAGGATAAAGGAGAAGCAATCACACATATTGCTCTCTGCCTGTCTGTCGTTTTGCTACGAACGCCACACACACAGCGAGACGCTCACATTTCTCTTGGTTTTTTTCTTCCATGTGTGTTTGCCTTTATATTGTCCCCATTTTTCCTTTCTTCCTTCCTATTAAATTTACTGTCTTCCTGCGTTTTTCTACACACTGTTATCTGTGCTGAGAAGGTAGCACTCCCATCTCTCCTTTCTCTTGCTTTTCTCAAATCTCCCTGGCGTCCTGACTAAAGGGGAGAGTGGCAATGAGAGGGGAAATTCAACAAGGCGCTGGGGGGTCTTATGGGAGGAGCGGGAGAAAACAAGCCAGTCGAGGGAAGGGGAAAGATTGAGGGTGGGGGATGCACGAGCAGCGAAGGAGTGATAGAATGATAAGTTTGAAGAGGAGGAGAATGAGGAGAAGGGGGTGCAGAGGACAGAGGAGGATAGATGATTTACTGAGTGGGCTTTACAACCTGGGCTCCTGGGAAATATGAGCTGGAGCAAACACCACACATACATGCACACACACACACATGGATGTATGCATGCAAAATTGAGGATGCAGTGGGCTTCATAATTAGCCACAGGCCTCAGCTCCACAGACAAACATGAGCTGCTAGAACGAGTGATTGATTATCACGGGCACTTTCCACTTCAGCCATCTTTATTGTTACTGTAGATGTGTAAACGTTACAGTGACATCAGAGCCCGAGTGTTTGTGAGGCTGTGTGCTGCTGCTGCTCCTCCATATGTATGTTTCAGGAGGACCTTTTCATCTCAAGCCTGAGAATGTCTGCAAATAAAATAGTGTTGGGAAGGAAGGACAGAAGGGAAAGAGTGTGAGGGAGGGAGAGAAGGGTGACAGAGGAGAGGAGGGTGAATCTGATTGTTCCGCTGGATGGTTCATAATGTGCAGAGCTGTGACTGGTTACAGTCCCCCCCTTCATTCTTTTTTTATCCTCTCTCCCTCTCTTTCATCGCATCATCTTCAGAGGCAGCTTGAGATGGGATTTATCTCCTTTCTCTGCACACACACACACACACACACACACACACACACACACACACACACACACACACACACACACACACACACACACACACACACACACAAAGAGCGAGAGACAGACAGCTCTCTCGTTCCATCAACTCTGGCTCTGAAGCACTTTCGCTTCAAATCTTTTTCCTGCTCTCTGTCTATCTGACACAAACAAACACGCACATGCAAATGCGCAAACACTTACAGACCCACTCACACGCAGGCACACATAAACGGAGGCATACAAAGTGGAGGGATGGAGCGTCTCTCTGTGTGTTTACCTCCCCAGTCATCCTGGTTAATTATGCATGCAGAGGCAGTTTGCTGGGGAGGTGGAGCGGCCTGGGAGGAAATGCACACACACACACACACACACACACACACATCGCATCACACATATTCACAAAAAAGTCACACTTCACCACCACCACCACCACCAGCACCGCCGGAATCATCTCGACACGACCCAGCACCAGACACACCAAAGCTCAGCTCACATCCTCCTCGACAAACTGACAACGCACTTGAAAATAACCCAAACATGCCACATTCCCTGCTCCCCCCCTCCGTCGCCACACACACTCGTGTCTAACACATCTGCCTTTAACACCCTGCTTAACACAGCACGCTCCGAAATAACACAGCAACCCGCCCCGCCGCTGCTCCCAATCAGTGTGCTGCAATCCCCATCCTAATTACGCACACTTCAACGCGGCGCAGAGAGCATTCAGATGCCTCCAACTATCGCTCTGCCTCTTCAGATTTCCTGCCTCTGCCCTCCCCTCTCTGTGGATGCTGTGCCCTTTTACTTGATAACCTCAGGTTCAGCACACTGGACGGACAGATGGACGGACGCTCAACTTCTCTGTGTCTGTCTCCTCTGCAGTGTCTGGCCAGACTGTGTGGGTGGGTTCCTACCCAGGGGAGAGGCTTAGGAGATGGAGGAAGCCAATATCTGCTCTGACATTTGTCAGTGTCCCGTTGTCATGACACACAGCTGGAGGTCACGGGGGTCACTGGCAGCCAGTCACATAGATTATAGGAGGACACATAGAGGGGGTGGAGGCCGGCCACTGACACCCAGACAGACAGGCAGACAAATGGACAGATGGCAATTTGAGGCAACAGCGAAGAAACTCAATCAGAGGGCTGACAGTGAGCGAGCAGTGGGCTTCTAATGAACATCCAATACGTTAAGTTGTTCGTGTCCAACCTGACTGTATTGATCTCCATCAAACAAACGCTGCAAATGATGGAAATACGTCATTATTTTGTGAGGAACAGAAGCCTCTCCCTGCCGTCGATCACTGCCATCTGTTTGACTGTTTTCTTCTCTGAATCCAGTGTGATGCAGTGAATTCACAGTTTCAAAAACAAACAATGACGCCAACAGCATCTGAATGGAAATTAACCGTGTGTGTGTTTTTAATCAAGCTCCCTGTTTTCTTCGTTAAACTGAGCGCTTGTTTTGGTTGGAGGGGATCTGACGGAGCTTCGAGGCTGAAGCGGCTCAGCGGCGTGTGGAAGTGAGGAAACCGAGCGTTGCCCAGGTTGATCTGGAGCAGCGTTCTGGTGCTGTGAAGGAGGCCGGCTAATGCGAGGTTCGGTGTGTGTGTGTGTGTGTGTGTGTGTGTGTGTGTGTCATGCTGTCT